AAAACAATAGTATACTTTTGTTAACTTTTAGTAATCAATAGGAAGACTAACACGCCAAATTAATATATAATAACAAAAACAAATACACTGAGTTCAGCGTTACATGTAACGCTGAACTCAGTGTATTTGTTTTTGTTATTATATATTAATTTGGCGTGTTAGTCATCCTATTGATTACTGTGAACAATATTCCCATAAGAAAATCCTTCCTTTAAGAAGGTTATCTGTTTTTAACAATTTGAAGTGACTTGATAAAAATTCAAGCTGTTTTTTTAATTTATTTTTAGACAAATCGCCAACTTTAAATATCTGATAAATACCCTTTCAGATTTCCATGCACGTAGTTCATAAAAAAAATATGTTGTTTCACTAACAAAATCACCTTTAATTATAGAAAAAATATAATATTGGCATATATATAATTAAAAACATAGAATACTGGTCTGCGATTAATGTTTCAAAAATTAAACGTTTTGAATAACAAATCAGTGTTAGATGTAAAAAAAAGAAAAACAACTGTAAAACTGAGAATAAAAACTGAAACACATTGTATTTTTGCAAACATTAAGTTAAATGGAGTTATTTTTATGTAACTACTTGAAAACAAGACGTATTTGATTGTTTTGTTCAAAACCGTTTTGGTCACAACAATCTACTGGAGTTTGCAGTGCTGAAAACAAACATAATTAGTACAAATCTGTTGATGAACAACTAAGTGTAAGTGACCTAGTTTTCGCTTCATAGAACAACATGCATCATAATATATCCTACAATTTAATTTACATTTAGGCCTATATAACTAACTAAAAATGACGTATTTTTCGTGTATAATTATAATAATAGTTACAATTACAGAATAGTTACTTTACCAGAAAAGACAAGATAAAATAATCCTGTATTTCTAAATTATACGTACAATTAACAAAAAGGTTAACATTAAATACACTATTAGATTAGTTGTACACGTATTACCTGAAAATCCACTTCAGAAGTAAACCTAATAGTGTTTTGAAAAAGAAAAACAAATAATATTGTATAACTCATAACAAGTCCGATTTGGCTTCCTACTTCATCTAAAGTTGCAATTATAAATTCAGAATTACATATATTATACACTATGCACAGTTAAATAAATCTATTTACTCACCTGGATGAATTGAAACACTGAAAATAATAACAGTAATAAGTAAATTTATGTAACAAACGATGTTACCATATACAGCCAGGCATCGATTTAATGAAATGTAAATGATCCACGTTGCAGTGTGCTTATCTTGATATTCATTAAAAGTGGAAATAAATTTATTTTCAGCGTTAAATGCTCTAATTGTTGTTAGTCCATAAAGAGATACGCTGAGATGAGAAAATACCGGACTTCTTGCTGTTAAAAAAATGTAATTATTTGAGCGAATCTTTATTAAATATAACAACTATTTGCGTATTGTATTTAAGAAAGCAAATGAAAAGTAATTCTCTTTTAGAATAATATCATATGTTCCAGAAGCTGCTAATTAAAATTGCATATAATATAACACAAACATCCTAATCTTTATGAAAAAAAAAATGCAATTGAAAACAAAAGATGTATTCCTAAATTCTTTGATACCAAACATACACCAAAATTATAAGCACGCTTTTAAATTTCTTTTAACTTTTTTGCAGAGGAAATGTGCAATAAATTATGTGTATGCTTTTTGTATGAACATGTTGTACAGCAATTGCTGATTATAATTTGAACATTCATTATAAGCTCTATCAACAAGAAAGTACATTTACGATCAAAAGCATTTTAGCTGCTGGAGCGTTTTTGTTAGATTAGTCTGGATACAATTTGTCTTACACTTTATTTCGCACACTGTATTGACTAAAATCTTGATCCACACGAAGAATATCTTTGTGGTCAAACATGTCAACAGCAAGTCCATTCCAACATGCTCTAGTGTTGTTGTTTAATAAAAATATGCACATGTAACAACTAAGAAAAATATCACATGATGTTCAATAACCGATTGTCTGCTTCTTCCTACAATAATGATATTCTTTTCAAAAACGTGGTACTAAAAACAGCATTAACCAACTAATGTTGTGGAGTGACGTCTTCTACAAGTATTGGGTACTTTCTCTTTAAACAAACGTTTTGAAAATAATAATGTTGTAATTCGTACACTGAACAGCATTGATTGAATGTTTAAAAATTTCAAGTTGTAGATGGCTCGCGGTATATTTTCGATTTAGCAGTATCCATTACAAACAAAAGTGAACAAATTTCTGGAAAATGTGTAGTAAACAAATTGTAAGTAAGCAAGTATATGTTAGGCAAGTAAACATTTTCTAGATTTTTTAAAAAATTGCGTTTTGAAACTTATAGTTACAAGTCATTAGAGCCGATTTTGCGGTACGCAAATAATAACGGATTACTTTCTCCCGCTCTCCCCTGCGAGAGGAATTTCGAAAAATCACTTCTTAGTTTACATTGTATAGACATATTTTAACTGTTT